TCTCTTAGCCTTTTCTTTGGACACCCCTGACTGGTGCGTTTTCTTCGTCTCACATCCTACGCCGTTAACCAACCAGCTTTGCTCTCCCCAGCTGCCTCCTTATTCCTCCTTCCTGAGACCTGTGCCTCCCTTTAGAATCGTTCCACGCCCAACAGTCTCGACGACACTTCTTATTTTCCTTTTCTTCACCTTACGTCTACCCCCTTTCGATACAATTTTAATGCTGGATATGTTTCTGTGAAGACTTATTCTTCCCCCCCCCCCCCCCCCCCGGCGGTCTACTTTCACTCGCCGTAACAAAAACCTACGCGGCTTCAAGATCGTCTGCTGCCCCAGTTCCCCCGAACAAAACCTGTCAGTAATCACGACCTTTATTGCCCAGATCCGTCAATCTTCTTTATTTTCCTCCCTCCGCAACTGCTTTGAAACTCCAGTCGAATACCGACCCGGTCATTCCTTCGACTCGATATCTCGACTCGATATCTTCAGTTCAACTTCAACTTCCTGTAGCCTCCCATATCTGCGCAGAACAGTCCCGCAAAGCTATACGTATCCATCGTCCTTCAACAACTAGATATCTCCGTCTGCAGACCTTGCTGGATTATTGCGCAAAGCTGGCCTGCTTCCCTCGAGGGTTGGATGCTTTCTAATCGGTCCCACGATTTTCTTTCTACCATAACCTGCTTAATTATCACTGGACTGCAAGAACCTGTGGCAATCTCAACAAGAACCGTGAGCTATTTATTAGTCTATGTCCTCGCCCACCCCTAGAGATTCCCGCTGTTCCGTTTCCCTCCAGCCATTGGCAGTCCTATTCTTCTCAGAGAGAAGTTATAGATTTTGAAAATATTCTTCTATCACCCGAGCATAAAGACACCTTAATTATATAATGACTCCCTCGTCGAGGCCTGATGGCCACCTCAACCTTAACTATCTTCCATCTTCACAGCCCATGTCTGGCACCTCGACTGGAAGCTCGTCACCCAACGAGCAGCCAGGATCGAGTTCCATGAAATCTTCCTTTGGAGGCTCAAACGGGTTGAATAACACTGGAGGATCGCTTGGAAGTGCAAGAATGGGGGCCGGTTCCCCTTCTCATGAACTTGGGGCTCGTTTGTACTCTAAGAGGTAAGGATTTACTTGAAGACGCGGCGTTGCTTATCGCGGCTGTAGCTGAAATATTTTATTAGAGCTCGAGAAATCCAGGCCCAAGAAGGTCTTGCTCCAAATATCTGGGGTCCCCCAACAAGCGGCAACTCAACCCCTCTTCGTGAAAATATACCGGAATCCCCAAGTCAAGACGAGTTCCCAGACCTAAACCCCGCACCGGAGAGCAATCTCACAAGTCCCGCTCGTCGAACAAGAGCAGGGACAGTCCCCTCTCGCTTTTCCCCCGTTGGTTCACTCAACGGTGTTAGCACCCAATCGTCGTTTACCTCGAAAACCTCGAGACCCACGCCATCAACTAGCCCATTCCGTCCTCCCGCTGTATCGGCCCTCGACTCTGCTAATAGAAGTTCGGCTCCTGGGAGCGGAAATAGCACAGCTTTGCTTTCACGCCTCCGTGCCGGATCCATGCCTCAACGCTCAAGTGTTCTTGGCGGTTCTACTCCATTTGGTCCTTCGTTATTTTCCACCAACTGGTCATCAGGGAGGGAGAGAGCAACCACTCTGACAAGCATTCGATCATCTGAAGGACCAGTCTCACCCGCCCAATCTTCGTTCTCGAGAGATGGTCTCGCTGATGCAGACGTTAGAACCTTAGATTACCTTGGCCTTGCTGAAACTCCACAGCAGGTCCGGGCACAACTGGCACGCCCATCCGTTGATCAGCTCATCCAACAGCAGCAGCAGCAGCAACAACAACAACAGCAGCAGCAGCAGCAACATCAACAGCAGCAGCAGCAACATCAACAGCAGCAGCAACAACAACGGACATCGTCCCTACCTCCTCTGCTTGCGGACCTGGTATTGCTGAACAAAAACTCTACCCGTTTCCGCTCTTATTCTGTGAATGCCAAGGAGAAATACGCTGAAGATGATGAAGAAGCTTACGGACACCATTATTCAAACGTTCCATCCGGAACCCTGACTCCTTCGGCCGCAGCAACTGCTGCCCAGCTAGCGGCAACCCAGGCACAAATTCATCAACACAATCTTGCTGTACAGGCATTTGCCAACCATGCGTCGGCGAATCGTCCCCGTGCTCGCACTGCCGGTGTCTTGGACACACCTCCTCAGAGGTCGTCGATCCGCAACTATCTTGCGACCCCTTCCAGACTTGATAATAGCATCAGCATTTCAGACTTACGTATTTCCGAGACAGGAGAGTATGACGATATTCCGGAAGCTGTTCAAATGATGCAACTGGGTGGGATGCAAGGCGTGCGACAGGGTCTTGAGATTGGTGGTGAAAACAATCTTGATGGCCCCACCAGAGCGTTGTGGATTGGCAGCATCCCCGTCTCAACCACAGTCACTTCCCTCGATGCCATCTTCAATGTGCATGGCAAAATTGAGTCGACCAGGGTTTTGACCCACAAAAGCTGCGGATTTGTGAACTTTGAACGTGTCGAAAGTGCTATTCAAGCTAAGTCCCTTCTTAATGGTAAGGAAATATTCCCGGGTGCGGGGCCAGTTCGAATCGGATTTGCGAAAGTCCCAGGGAACTCAGGCGCGGCAACTCCTGGTCAAAATGGTGACCAATCTTCGCCCACCCCGGACTCAACCAGCAGCCATGGAGGAAATAATTCATCTGAAGGCCAAGAGCGTGCATCACAAACGGACAATGCAAATAATGCCACGTCCAATGTGCCTGTCATCCCACAACTGTCTGAATTGCAACCAGAAATGAGCCGAATTGTTGCCGAATTTGATGCATCCGAAGAAGAATGTCAAAGTATCACGTCCAGTATTAAACGTGCAGTGGGATTTGATTCATTTGTGGACGAAGTACCTCCCGTTCCCGAACCAAGCCAAAGTCGGGTACATGATGCTCCTAGACTTCGAGATGTTCGAAAACGGATTGATAACGGCACTCTTTCGGTGAATGAAATTGAGGAGATTGCAATTGGCATGCTCCCTGAGATCGCAGAATTGTCTTCCGATTATCTCGGCAACACCGTTGTCCAGAAGTTGTTTGAGTATTGTTCGGAGCCGATTAAAGAGAAAATGTTGGTCGAGATTGCCCCTCATCTTGCTGAGATTGGTGTGCACAAGAATGGTACCTGGGCCGCACAAAAGATTATCGACGTGGCCAAAACTACGACACAGAAACAAATGATTGTTGATAGCCTCCATCCGTACACGGTGCCACTGTTTTTGGATCAATATGGCAATTATGTGCTGCAATGCTGTTTGCGTTTTGGTACTCCCTTCACTGATTTTATATTCGAATCCATGCTTAGTAGGATGTGGGAGATCGCCCAAGGCCGATTTGGGGCGCGGGCTATGCGTGCGTGCTTAGAAAGTCACCATGCAACAAAGGATCAACAACGTATGGTAGCTGCCGCTATCGCCCTTCACAGCGTTCAGCTGGCAACCAACGCAAATGGTGCTTTGCTTCTTACATGGTTCCTCGACACATGCACGTTTCCTCGTCGACGTACTGTTCTTGCCCCTCTCCTTGTTCCCCATCTTGTCCACCTTTGCACCCACAAAGTTGCGTATTTAACTGTCCTCAAAGTTATCAACCAGAGGAACGAACCAGAGGCCCGAGAAATTGTACTGAAAGCCCTTTTCTACAGCCCCGGAGATGAAATTTTGGAGAAGATTCTCAGTGACCAGACGTCGGGGGCGACATTAATTTTTAAAGTTCTTACAACACCTTTCCTTGATGAGAGTATGCGAGGCGAAGTTGTCAAGACCGTTGCTAAAGTTCTCACGAAGTTGAAAACCACAACGAGTCAAGGTTATAAACGGTTAATGGATGAGGTTGGACTATCGTCCCGGAGCTCAGGAGGCTCTCGGGATACTTCTCACCACACTAGGGATAGCCAAAATGCGCATAATGGTAATGACAAGAATCAGAACCGCCCGACATCTAGACAAGCCAGCAAAAACAATTATAATGCCCCACCCCTACCAGAGAGACAGTACAGTGGACAGTTTGCACCAGGGCTCCAACCTCAGCAGTCCTTCGATTCTCCAACAACAATGGCACGATCGATTTCATCAGAGCATAACCTTCCTCCCTATGATCTTTATGCAATGGGTGGTATTAACGGTGTTAATGGGTTAATGAGCCTGCAACCCCTGAACAACAACCCAACATTCCCACAAGAAGCTACGATACCAATGACCCAACAACAACTCCAATATCAAGCATATCTGGCAGCCCAGTCCCGCGGTATATCCCCAGCTGGATTTTATGCTCCTCAAATGGCTGGAGCAGGTTTCAACGGCTTTGCAGCAGCTCCTGCCGCCACGATAGACACCTTCCGTGCCATGCAACCACATAACTCACCTCTCCGGGGTCCTCCCCCACAATTAAATGCGAGTCCAATGCTGCATCAGCCTGCCTTCGTGCCACCTCAGTTCAATCCGGCTGTGAATAATGGACAGATGTATCCTTCCTACCCACAGCCATTCTACCAGCAACCCAATGCCGCTCAGGTGCCACTGCCTGGCGGACGCCGTGGACGTGTAACTTGACCCTTTCCTTACGTCTGACTCTAAACCCTTATCCGCTACCTTTTTAACCTGTTTGCTTTATTCAGGTCTAGATAAACTAACATACCTCTCATTTCCGCAGAGATAAAGATAAACTGTGTGCAAATACTGCAGGACGTCTTTTAAAGACCATTTTTCTCCTTTTTCCTTCAGCTTTTCTAATTTTCTCGTCTAAAGAACATTTCTTTTTCTTTTTTCTTTTTTTTCTTTCTTTTCTGGCAAATTTCTTGACAACAAAGAACCTCTCCCTCTCCCTTCTGACTCAATACGAAACGTCTTCGGCAGAAAATTTTGTGGATGAGTTTCCGTGCCAATCCCCTTACGCTGGATCGTTCAGGGGTTAAGAAAAGGACCCGTCCACAGGGAGGATCAAGAGGCAATCCTTTTGTTCTCACGATGGATCCGTTTCCACTCACTATCCCACCCACTTCCCCCTGGGGCATATGCAAAGACCTTCGTCTGAAAAGAAATTTGTACGGCGTTAACTGCTGTCTCAAGTGTTCTTTTATTTCAAAGGACTATCTCCTGTTTCTTCATTTTGTTTCTTTTATTTTCCACCATATGGTCTTCTTTTCTATTTGAAAATATAGTTTTTATCATCACTTGTTTAAATTTTACTCAATACTTCCATGTGAACAACCAAAAAATCATCCTGTGGAGATTTCATGGAGGATATGATGTGCTCTTGTCACCTTACTCTTATTTACTACTGCCTCTTCTTGTTATTTCTTGACGCTGATATTTCTACGTCATTAAGAGGGTTTTTTTTTCTTCAATTCGTTAATTTTTTCTTCTCATATTTTGTCTGTGTCTATTCTCTTGTCTATGCTACCCTTCATACTGTGAGAATACTTCTCTATCTGGCAATGTGTTAACAAATTATCTTCAAAAGATTCTCTTGTTTTTTCTTGTTCATGGTTCTTATTTCTTTCACTCTCTCACCTCCCCCTTCTTCCTGTCTCCCCTTGCTAGGTTGCGATTAAAAAACATCCTAGAGTACATTACACTATAGGAATGTGGATTTGGAGGAGGTCATCTGTACTCTTGTGTATGTGCCTTGTCGGCTTTGAGCCAAGTGGCGTCCGCGAGAAACCCGCCTGCCTACATGGCGTGGCGGGATATGGAGCGTGACAATGGCATTGGCGATTTATTTGTGTGTTTTTCACCCTTTGAGTTTGATCCTTCGACTTTATCATTCGTAACGAATCTCATGATATTGTGAAAATCTTTTCTTTTTTCTTTTTTTTCCTTCAATTTTTCCTTGGAACTATTTCTTTTTATTTTGTGTTAAGTTGGCCTGTTTCTTAGCTTTTTTCCGTTGAAATTTTTAGATTTTTAGCCTTCGACAAGACCTTGCCTTTTTTTTTTCTTTTTTTTTTTCTTTCTTTTTTTTTTTTTTAGTTAACTTCTGTTTGGTTTTTCAGGTTTCAGACGTGAGAAATAAAGGATGTTAGAGGAATTTAGTGAAAATATTTGATCTTTTACAGGTTCATATTTAGCAAAAGAGATGGAATGTTTTAATTTCTTCCTACTTTTTGCTCTATAACCGGTGTACAGTTCTTGCTGTTGAATTTGCGTATGAAAATATTTTATCAAACAATGTTATTTCACGTTCAGTTAAAGTTAACTAACTAGTTACAGAAACCATTCTATTCTCATCATCCATTCCCATCCTCTCTCTATCTCTTTGTTACATATTCTTTTTTCCATCGGATCTGAACTAGGCATCACAGATACGCCACAAAATTCCGCCCACCACCGCTTATTATTCTTTCCTTTCAAATCCGAATAGCTAACCGTGGCGGTTTAACACCTTGTATATAGATATATATCAATGAAGCGAACTTCAGAGAAGAACACAAATCAGAGGGGAAAGTAAACGTACAGAATTAGCACGCAGTCGCGTAATCAAACCTACATCCAGACGAGCTCTTCATGCGACCAGGTAGCAGCAAAAGAGTGTGGCCTTGCTGTTGGACTTGAAATAAAGTGTAATCGTGCGGCGCATCTGTAGTTGCGTAGCAATCACATATAAGTAGTTCACTGCGAAGCAGCATGAGACACGTATATATATATATATATATGTAAAGAGAAGCGAAAGAAGAAACAAAGGGGTGTAAAAAGAGTCATTCTTACCTCCTCTAGCTCCCAAACATCCACAATCCTCTCCAAACCAGCGCAAGCAGGGATGCCGTAGTAGCTTCCATGCTCACGTCTGCAAGGCGGAGGATCCTCGTAAGTTTCCCCTCTTAAATGGGAGAAGGGCGGTTGCTTGCTGCTGCTGGTCGCTTATGAACGTATCAACTTGGTCGGGCTTCGGTGATCCGTTAATGGATCTTGACTTCTTCACTTTTGATATTCTGCTGTTGCTGCTCTCGTGCTGGACTTAGATTTGGTTTGCTGGCTTTATGGTAGACGGTAAGGTTCCCTCCCTCCTTCACGGCCCACTTGCTTGCCTCCAAGCCGCCAGCGCCAGATGCGTTGCCGATTTTATCTAAGGCTTTGACGAGGAGTTTTGCTTAGGTTGATGGGGATGTTTGGAGCTTGCCCAGCGAGAGGTGAAAGGGATGGGGAGCTCATGGCTGCTTTCATTGTGCCATGTCAGTTTTGCTGTGCTTGTTGGTTGGTTGGTTGGTTGGTTGGTTGGTGGTGGTGGTGGTTTGTAGTTGTTGGTCTGTTCTTGTTTGGGTGGAGGTAGGGGGTTGAATGAGGTTGGTGAGACTGGTTTAACACGGATCTTGGGGCATTTTAGGAGGTTGATATGTCAGGATGGAGAAGCTTGATGGGGGGAAGATATGCTGGGGTCGAAGGCATTTATGCTAGCTTGGAAAGTCTTCAGGGGCTTCAGCACCAAACATGTATTCGCTCCATGAAGTACTGTACGTTGGTATTAAGGGATGAAATACATTAGGATGAGATAACCCATGGGAGGATGATATGCTGTTCGTGTTGAACTGATGGTGGAGGTTAGTTAATGGTGGCTGGACAAGAGTTCAGGGGACCACCAAAATGTGTATTCACTGTTCGTGGTGGTATTTGTTAGCAGCTAAGTGAAGTAGACGGTGCCATCATCAACGAGCTGGATATCTTGGTCACTCTCTTTACCGCCTCACACGAAGCATTCTTGCGTCCTGGTGATAGTCAACATAGCCAAGGAGTTCATGTGTACACTGTTACAGTACCTCATCGCAAGAGCGTAGATGAATTCAAAGGTAAGATTAAGGGGTATCCTTCGTTATATCTGCACGTAAAATTTTACGCAGATGAACGTCTCCACACGTCCCGCATTCACGAGCATAGCCGCAGCAGAAAGTGCAGCGGAGCTACATTTTGCATTGTCTTCATAAAAGCAGCCCTGTCTCTGGCGGAACCTTTGGTCTCGATGGAGGGATATCCCAAGTCGACAAGCGTTTATCAAAAGGGAGCCATCTTAGGAATGGAATTTGGTACGCCCTGCAGACTGGCAAAGGGAATGAATGGCATCATCATTGTATAGAAAAGAAAGAAAAGAAGAGAAAAGAAAAAGAAAAAGAAAAAAAAAAGATAGATAGGCAGCGCCAATATGCCCGATGCCAATGCGAAGGTAGTTTTACCATAATTATTGGGAATCAAGAATAGTAAACAACAAAAAGCTGTTGCAACTCCACATCCGTGCATAAAATACAAAATTTAAGAAGGACAAAAATAGAGGAGCAAGAAACCAAAAGGAACAGGGCAAGGAAAAGCAGAATAAATGCATATAGCCACTAGCCAGAAGGGACGGGGACAGTCTCCCAGTTCTTCTCCCCCTTCTTGGGATTGGACACCATGACCTGCAGATCTCGACGACCACAGAAACCCCCAGTTCCCGCCTTCCGTTTAATCATTTCATAAGAACCCTCACCATCAGCACCTTTGAGAACCCAGACTTTTTCTTCCACTTCCTCCCCGGCTATCTCTGCCCGTCGCGGATTGAATTTGGGCATACCAGCCACGGCATTTATTACAGCGTTGGCTATGGAATACAGCCTTTCGAATCTCTTAGTGACGCCAAGCCACGACAGAGTCCTTGTGTCGTATGCAACTCGAACGTAGGGATTCATATAGATCTCCGTATCAACAGGTTCGCCATCCTTGAATTCGTATGGTGGCCTTTGGATGTCAGCATGGATGAGACAGCATTCCGAAGCGTCCCAGTAGGTGTCGGGCTCAGCGCGGAATTTCATAACTGAAGAGCGGCGCGGAACTAGGGAGGTTGGAGTCCGTCTGTCAGCCTTGTGTTTATTCTTTCTCTCCCCTTGCTCTTCTTCCGGGGTCTCCCTTCGTTGGAAGAACTTTGCATCAAATGCAACCATCCCGCCCCAGCAGCTTCTAACTCGAATGGCGTCCTTTTGATCGAGAACGTCATGCCGGCTCTCAGCCTTGCCTGCACTAGAAAACCATGGGTAGAAAGGAACTCCCATCGAATATCCCTCAAGATCCCTCGTTGCAAAGGTATCGTAGAACTTGAATGGGTTAATGAAATCTACGGCACAAGCGGCACGGTATCGCGCCTTACCGTCCTTGTCCGCATTGGTGGAGAATAGCAGCTGAAGAGCGTCGATGGGATCGAAAACGATGTCGTTGAGGTATAGCAGTTTATCGAACCGACCGTTTGCTGGGTCGTTGAGTGGGAGGAGTGCACGGTTTCGAACCTCAGCTAGGTATGCAACCCGCTTTATGCGCTCTGAACCATCTACAAGGCGGATGTGAGGCAAGGATGTCCTGTCCATGTGCTCCTCGTACACTATCGACTTCTTGCATTCAACTCTCCCCTCCAGCTCATTCAGTGCAGTTTCACCCTCGGGACCACTGTCATTCTCGTATATACTTAAGAATACATTATCATTTCCTAGTAATCTGATAAGCTGAAGAACGTTCTCCCCCCACCTGCCCCGTGCAAGCTCGCCATCTCGATCGTATAGACTAGCAGCAACGAACACCTTTTCATTCCGTGGATTACCGGCGCCTGGACTCTTTGTGTTTAGAGCAGCTTGCCGGAGAGTATAATAATGAGCAGGAGGGTACGTGTAAGACGGACGGAGTAGGGCGGTAAGCAACGCGAGGACGAGTATTAGTCCAGAAAATGAAAATGAAATGAAACAGAGTCTGCGGGGGAAGAGGCGGCAGCGAAACCCAGAGTGATTCCTCTTTTTCCATGCAACCTCCCTTGTGCGGCCGCGTGGGGGATGTCGTCTGACGAAAGGGAGGAAGGAGAGCAGTCGCGATATCAGCGAGGGGGGGGTATGCAGATAGCTTCGGCTGGTTGTAGGATGCGACTCGAAGTCTGCGGCGTCGAGATCGAAGCTACCTCTCGAATCGAAGGACGAGCGACTAACCAGCTCATACTCATCGGGATGCAGGAGTCGGGGAGACATGTCGCGGGCCCGCAGGATAACAGGGGCGGCGGGGGTCTACCCTGTCCGCATCGTATGGCTTTGCCTACGGAGAACTCCGCGCTACTCCCGTTACGTGGGAGAGTAAGCCCGCGTGCGGTCCCGAGGTGGTGCCGCGAGCCCGTGCCTGTTTTGACACCAGTAAATTGGGAGGGAATGATAGCCTTGGTGGTGAGTGACCGGTGATGAGGTCTGGCAGACCTGAAGGATTCCGACTCAGGTCAGCAGCATCTTCTTGGGCTGGGGGCCTTAGCCAGCGCTGAGTCAGCTGGCGCCTCTGTCACTTCACTAGTTGGTTGGTTAAGCTATAGCCAACACTTTTTATAAATCCATCATCTCAGATCATAAATCCAGCCTTCAGAATTGATGTGCAAGAACCGATGTGAGCTTGACATTCTTCACAAATGCGCAAAGGATGAAAAATCACCCATTTTCCATAACTACTGTGGCTAGTTAGCGCGGAATCTGCAGACGTGCCAAAGGATGGCGATGATATCTGCATATCTTCAGAGTCGCAGAGGGAGATCCGTTAACATCGAATCCTGGCTTCCAAAATTCACATTACGGGTTATCCTTAAGGCATGGGAATGGATCAAGAACAAATGTGTGTGGGCCGTGAATACCTTGTGAATGCCTTGCAGAACCTAGGAAGATGGAGTGAGTGAGATCTGTATGGAAGAACCTAGCAGCCACTTAGCATGTTCCAAATCTGGTATGGGAGCTACAGTTAATGTTCTCTCTCATTTTCAACGACCTCTTCTGGACTCACCATCTCTCTCAGTGGATGTGAGAAATATCTGTCGGACGATCCTTGAGACCCGCGAAGCTTAAATAGAGCTGCCGGAGGAGGTAGCTGCAGTGGGAGAGGAACATGGAAGCTGGAGAATGGATGATGCAAGCGATTGGCCCTCTGCTTCATGAAAAAGTATTCCACCAGATGCAGTTCTTCTCCTCGTGCCCCGCGATCAGAGAATTCGTGATAAATGCCTAGTTATAATGTTGGTGAGTTTACAATGATTAGCTGTCTGACGACGAGCCCTCCACCTCCAGCTAGTTACACCCAAGCCAGCTGGCATGACCTCTCCCTGGGGAAAGAAGAAGAAAAGAAAAGAAAACCCATTTTAATGCAACCACTTGACATATCGGGTGTAAAGCGATGTCATTTCAAGACGCCTTGCAGACGATAAGCAATAAACAATGAACTTGTTTAAGCCGACAGCGCTCTACACAGTTAAATCTCTCCAATCGTATCTCGTATCTCGTGTTTCGTATGTCACAGTATTTGGCGGAGGTTGAGCCTGGTTTTGCATTTTACTTGGTCGAAAACCCTCTCGATGTATAACAATATCAGTTAAACCGCTACTTTCGTGTTTTGTCCTCGGGTAAGGCTGATATTAGCCTATATCAAGGTTTGAGCTTACAGGATTCCGACTCAGGGGAGCTTTCGGTTAAGGTCTCCCCCACCTTGCTGCGTCATACTGGTGCGAAATGAAGAGACATACGAAAACAAAAAGTAGAAGGACTTCATATTTATTGCGGGAAAGCCATTTCTGGACGCCTATTCATCAATCAACTTTCCCATCCAAGCATATGTAAAATCTTTCAGGTAAACGCATTCCACCCCCACCCTTTTTCCAAACCACGAAGCCACATTCACATTCCAAAGAATATATATAAAGAACCCAATGTCCGACTCCAAAATTCACATCCTCAACCCGACCCCCTCCCCTCCCCAGCTCAGCTA